GGCTCACACCTGTAATCCCAGCACTTTGGGAGCTGAGACAGGTGAATTACCTAAGTCCAGGAGTTCAAGACCAGCTTGGGCAACATGGTGGAACCCCATCTCTACAATAAGCACAAAAATTAGCCAGGCATGCCTGTAGTCCCAGCTACTTGGGAGCTGCTTAGGAGACTGAGGCAGGAGAATCACTTGAGCCTGGGATGGGGTGGTTGCAATGAGCCGACATCATGCCATTGCACTCCAACCTGGGCAACAGAGCAAGAGCCTGTCTCAAAGAAGAAGAAAAAAATACACACACACACACACACACACCCCTCCAGGTAAAAGGACCTCAATTTTACTTGAGGGTAAATAACATTTAAGGACACACAAATTATTTCCACACTAGCCTGGCACCTCCAGTCAAAAGACAAAACCTGGGGCTAAACATTAAGACCTTATGTACACAGGGAAATAATAATGATCCGAGGTGGGTGGGATGGGGAGAGAGCATGAGGCAAGGTTCCTGTTTAGATCACTTATCCATCACGCAGCTACATGGCTCCCAGGGGCTAAAAGGGAAAAACTACCACCAGTTCTAGACTTTATACAATTTCACCTTGGGCCCCAAGCTATCAAACCACACTAGGGCTCACACACACACAAATTTAGCCCATAAAGACTATTTAACTTGCCAAGGCTATAATCTTTAGTTATTTTTAGGAAATTTTTAATCTCAAGAATAAGACTCTTGAATTTGGAATGATTCTAATCTGAATGTTACCTTTAACATTGCAGGCAGAAATCATACAAACATCTGCCATCTCAAATACGTTAAGAAATGACTACGGGGGCCAGGCGCGGTGGTCACGCCTATAATCCCAGCACTTTGGGAGGCCGAGGCAGGTGGATCACGAGGTCAAGAGATCGAGACCATCCTGGTCAACATGGTGAAACCCCGTCTCTACTAAAAATACAAACAATTAGCTGGGCACGGTGGTGTGCGCCTGTAATCCCAGCTACTCAGGAGGCTGAGGCAGAATTGCCTGAACCCAGGAGGCGGAGGTTGCGGTGGGCCGAGATTGCGCCATTGCACTCCAGCCTGGGTAACAACAGCGAAACTCCATCTCAAAAAAAAAAAAAAAAAAAAAAAGAAATGACTAAGGATTGGTTCAATACTAAAACTGGAAAGGAGCAAAGCTGTAGGTAGAGACACCAGTGAGCAGAGATGGATTCAAAACCCTGGAAATAATGGTTTTCTAGTTTATAAGTTGTCACAAAACCTTTTACATTGTAGGCTTACAGGAATTGTAAGACATTTGTGAAATCAGAACAAACAATCACTCACTGAACAGGAGTTGTTCACTATATTGATAAAATTCAGCTCCATATAAAAACACTGGTCAACATTTCTTTATCTCATTTTAAGAAGATACAATTAAAAAAACTGAATCAACGAGATACCACTAAACACTGTATTTAATTTTTTAAAATAACAAATTGGTTTTTAAAATATTCTATACTTTTTCTTAGCAATTGTATTACAGTATTTATATAGACATATTTAAAAACTAGGAGCCCACAGATTACACTTTTTTTTTTTTTTTGAGATGGAGTTTCATTCTTGTCACCCAGCCTGGAGTGTAATGGGGTGATCTCAGCTCACTGCAACCTTTGCCTCCCAGGTTCAAGTGATTCTCCTGCTTCAGCCTCCCGAGTAGCTGAGATTACAGGCATGTGCAACCATATGCAGCTAACTTTTTGTATTATTAGTAGGAAAAGGGTTTCACTACGTTGGCCGGCCTAGTCTAGAACTCCTGAACCTCAGGCGATCTACCTGCCCCAGCATCCCAAAGCACTGGTATATAGGTGTGAACCACTGTGCCTGGCCAGATTACACTCTACTCTGACAACCAGATATAGAGCTATATAAATTTTTGAAAATAGGCTCCATTTCCACTACTTGCCAGCATAAGTTTTTAGGAGAGTATTAATATCAGCTAATTTTAATATATTTATACTTCACCTAATTTCAAGAAAAGATGTGACAAGACATAGGACATGTATTCAAAAAATATATGCTTTAATAAAATACTCTTTAATCAAAATATTATTACCAAAGTTCTTTAACCCTCCTTTTCAAAATGCTGAAATGTCAAATTTGCAATTTTATCAAGTATGGTAGAGAGAGGAAGAGGGAAAAATGCTTTGTCCCTGCTTGAAAACAACTCACTATTAAACTGGGAATTATTTTTACTTCAATAAGAAAGATATCAAATCCAGGCACAGTGGCTCATGCCTGTAACCCCGGCACTTTAGGAGGCCGAGGTGGGTGGATCGCTTGAGCTCAGGAGTTGGAGACCAGCCTGGGCAACATAGCAAAACCCCATTTCTACAAAAAAGCACAAAAATGGGCCTGTCATCCCAGCACTTTGGGAGGCCAAGGCAGGTGGATCACTTGAGGTCAGGTGTTTGAAATCAGCCTAGCCAACATGGTGAAACCCTGTCTCTACTAAAAATACAAAAATTAACCAGGTGTGGTTACACTCACCTGTAATCCCAGCTATTCAAGACGCTGAGGCAGAATTGCTTAAACTCGGGAGGTGGAGGTTGCAGTGAGCTGCTATCAACACCAGTGCACTCACCACTGCACACGGTCACACTAGCTTGGGCAACAGAGCGAGACTCAGTCTCAAAAAAAAAAAAAAAATGAGCTGGGCGTGGTGGCAGTCCCAGTTACTTAGGAGGCTAAGGTAGGAGGATGGCTTGAGCCTGGGAAAACAAAATTGTGCCACTGCACTCCAGCCTGGGTGAGAGAGTGAGACCTTGTCTCAAAAACAAAACAAAACAAAAACAATGGATGCTGGTACAAAACTGGGCCAGGTACGGTCTATGAAATGGCAATGAAAGTACATCTATGAAATGGCAATGGAAGCTTTGAAACATACCCAAGTACAATGAAAAATGTAGTCTGTAATAAAAATATTTCAAAATAGTGGAATAATCAAATAATCATTTGATAAGTAATTCTGGACAAGTACCTAAATATTCAGATGAAACTATAATTAGGGCTCTGGCTCTCATATAACAAAGTAATATACTGGGTGAATTAAGAGTAATACCTGTAACAAAAAAACAAAACAAAACAAAAGAGTAATAAGTGAAAAAAATAAAAATACTAAGAGGAAACAGGGACTAACATATATATATATGTTAATTTCGAGGAATTAACATATATAATAATTTGAAGGAATAAGGAAGATATAAAAATTATAACAGAGTTAGAAAATGTAAAAGAAACAGAAAGACCTGTCACTCTAAAACACACATGCACACGCACTTTTCTCCATGTCAAATATATGTACAAAGTTGAAAGACAAAAAACAGACTGGGGAAAAGAATGCTATATATGACAGATAACAGAAAAACAACCTTTATATCACAAAGATTAATTTAGCAAAAAACAACAGCACAGGCAAAGGCTTATGAGTATGTAATTTACATCTAAATGTAACTAGCATATAAACATATTTAAAAAGTGCTCAATGTAACTAGTAATTAAAGGAATGGAAAACAAAAAACAGTGAAATGCCTGCTACTTAGTGTCTGTAAAGCAAAATGGGGCCATCATACAATGTTACCAGGACTGTGAATATACATAACATTTCTGCAGGGCAAATATATATCAAAGTTTAAAATGTGCACCACTTCTGGCCCAATAATTCTCCTTTCAGAAATTCAACTAAGGAGATCATTCCTCAAAGATGTATGCCTAATAAATTCATCACAGTGTTGTTTGCAATCTAGATAAATTGGAAACAACCTAAACATCTATCTTTAATAATAAGGAAATCTTAGTACCCAGTAAACTAAAATATCATGCATCTATTACAAATGATGCAGAGATCATACAGGTATTGACATGAAAAAAATGGTCATGACATTCTACAGGACAGTTCCATGTGAATAGGGTCCTTGGATGTTTGCTCTTCACTCTTACTTCCAGCAACTACAACAGTGCCTTGCACAAAACAGCTTCTCTAGAAGCATTTATTAAATAGATGAACTTTTAAAGCAGGTTATATTGCGTTTTTTTGTAGAGATGGGGTTTTGCTATGTTGCCCAGGCTGGTCTCCAACTCCTGAGCTCAAGCGATCCACCCACCTCGGCCTCCTAAAGTGCTGGGGTTACAGGCATGAGCCACTGTGCCTGGATTTGATATCTTTCTTATTGAAGTAAAAATAATTCCCAGTTTAATAGTGAGTTGTTTTCAAGCAGGGACAAAGCATTTTTCCCTCTTCCTCTCTCTACCATACTTTTTTCTCTCTTCCCCCTCCCCCCCTCCTCTTTCTCTCTCACACACAGAAAGATAGTCACAAAAGGTTAACATGGTAATGTAGTATTGGTGTGTACACGTTTTAATTTTCTTCTTTATCCCTCTATATTGCATAATTTCCTTACATGGTAGGAATTCATGACTGTAAAAACTAACAATTTTTTAAAGAACTCATATATTTTAAATGAACTCTGGAATGTGCTCAGTGACTAAGGTCACAAACTCCAAAAACTAAAGTCAACAATATCCAAGTGGCATGTTTTCTTTCACTTTCAAAGAAATATCAGTGTATCTTGTACCTAGCAGCATCTTTCTCAGTACCAGGAAATGCCACACTAGACTAATAAAATAGTGTTTCCAAAAGAAAAGGCACACAATTACCACAGTAAAAAGGAAAAAATAATCTTTCTCTACCAGATGAGAAAGAAACAAAATTTTAAAATGAAAAAAAAAACCTAAAAGTAGCTAATTTCTTAAAGTCTCTTCCACTAACATATATTCTATTCTAGTTCACAGTAACGATTACTATATACAATTGTTCATTTTTTCCCAGCCTAAAAATCCAAGTGAATCGACATCAGCAAAGTGCTCTATATAATTCTTTCATTTCTTTACATAGGCAGATTTCACCTTGAACCGTGGATATACCAAACTAGCCACATACCCCATGTCTCCATCCATCCCATTACTCAGTTCTATTTTACTTACACGTGTCATCAAAATCTCATAACCTTATTTGGATTTTATCTGCTTCTTCATTCTAGAATGTAAGCTCTATGAAGACAGGAATTCTGTCCTGCTCACCACCGTGCCCCCCGCTAAAGAACAATGAATTATCTAGTAGGCCTCAAGAAGTATTTGCCAAACAAAAATGAAAAGATGGGGTTGGCGGACAGGAGAGCACAAATCCACGTAAAACAATAAAACGAGGAATTGGAAAAAGGAAAGAAAACCACGCTGAGATGTCCGAACTGACAGGACTCAAAGCTATCATGCCAGCTCGGAGGTTTTGTGGACATTTTTCAGGGTGGACAGGTGCTTCACACCTATCTAAGCGTATAGAGCCTTTCCAGGAAGAAGAAAATCCACAGGGAAGTGTCCAGATAGCTGTGAGCAGCTCCCAGAAGAGTGGACACAATCAACACCCTAACAAACGTGGCCCAGGTCGGGAGAAAAAAACAATACACCATACATCTCGGCCCAGATGAAAATCACACGAATCCCCAGCACAATCAAATCGAGCCACCACCTTCCGCCTGACACGTAAGAACAGTCTCCTTTCGCCGGGCTGTGCAGTCGCCTGCAACCCAGCAAACCCTTCCCTCACCCGACACTTTTCCCTCGCGAAGCCCACTGCCACCGCGGGTCCAAGGGGTAAAGGAACGGGGACAACAGCCTGAGGATCAGCTTTCTCCACCCCCCACCCGAGCTCGGTCCCCTCCAAATCGCAAACGTTTCCCATTCTCGCTTGTCCCCGAGGCCCGGACCCCTGCCCCGCGCCCCTATTGCTGTCCCTCACTCACGTGTAGATGATGGCCATGAAATGCATCAGCCACAGCACCAAGAAGAGAACGAACCCGAAGACGGCCATTCCCTCCAGGGCCAGGTCCAGCAGCGCCATCCCCCGGCCCGCCGGCCCGGCCCGGCCCGCTCCGGCCGCCAACACAGACAGCGCTACCGCAGGAGGAGGACAAGGTGGGCGCCCGGTGCGGGGGCGCGGGAGGCGAGAGGAAAGTGGGGAGAGGAAGGGGCGGAGGGGGGTGGGGACGGAAGGGGCGGGCAGGGCCTGCGCGCCCCCGCCTGCGCGCTCTCGTTCGCGCGCTATCCTCGGCGCGCTCGCGGGCGGTTGCGGGCGCTGCGGTCTCCTGTCTCTGGTCCGGGCGACCGCGGCCCCGCGATCCGGCTCGCCTCTTTCGACCCTGACAGCCGCCGGCCGGAACCTGCGCGCCCGCACCTCCGCCGCCTCCTCGTCTCTCTGCCGGGATCCCGGCCGAGCAGCTCCACCGCCTGGCTCCGCCGCCGCAGCTCCGCGCACTAATCAAAACCCGCGGCTCACGCCCCACTCCCCGGCGCGCCCCCGCCCCCGGAACCGCGGCGCCCGCCTCTCCTAGGGGCGGTGCCCCCGCCGCTCCACGCCCACCCTGCCGCCCGCGCGCCCGCTGCGGCGCCGGCGCGAATGCGCCGGGGAGAGTGTGTCCTGCTGTCCGCGGGACGCTGGTCCGGCTTCCTCCTGCTCCCGCCCCCCGCTGCCGCCCACCTAGGCGGGAAGCGCTGCAGCCCTGGGCCCGGCTGCCTGGGCGGCAGTGGCGGCTTGGGACCCTGTGTCTGGCCGGGAGGCTGCTCTCCCTGCCTCCGGCCCTGCTGCTCCCGAGTACCCCAGAAAAAAACACGGGTTCCGGGCAACTGCTGGAGCTCGTCTCGAAATCCAACTTCCAACCCCGTATCTGCAGCTTCCCCGCCGGGCACTGATCGGAACAGCCAGGCCCTCCTCCATGCCACGTTCCTGGGCGCGAGGGTTGCCAATTGCCTTCCCTCTTAACTGCTTTTAATGCAGTATCTTGGATCAAAACGGACCCGAGAGTAAAATAATCTCCATGCGCCTCACAGATCTCTAAGCGCCTTAGCAACCGTGTGTATTATTAAAAAAAAAAAAATTCTCAAACTCAGAATTAAAGAATCCGTTCATATTGAAATCCCCTAAGACTGCTGTCCAATACGGTAGCCACGTGTGGCTAAGTGAGGGTTGGAAAGGCAGCTGACCCCTCTTTGGAGTTGAGTGTAAACAGTACACCAGATGTGGAAGACCATCTCCTTAGTAATTTTTATATTGATTGCATGTTGAATAGGTAATATTTTGGACATATTACATTAAATTAGATAAATCACTAAGTTAATTTCTCCTTTTTTTTTTTCGTTACGGAATCTCACTCTGTCACCCAGGCTGCAGGGGCGCGATCTTGGCACACGGCAACCTCCACCTCCCGGGTTCAAGTGATTCTCCTGCCTCAGCCTCCCGAGTAGCTGGTACTACTTACTGGTGCCTGCCACAGCACCAGGCTAATTTTTTTTTTTTTTTTTTTTTTTGAGATGGAGTTTCGCTCTTGTTACCCAGGCTGGAGTGCAATGGCGTGATCTCGGCTCACCACAACCTCCGCCTCCTGGGTTCAGGCAATTCTCCTGCCTCAGCCTCCTGAGTAGCTGGGATTACAGGCACGCGCCATCGTGCCCAGCTAATTTTTTGTATTTTTAGTAGAGACGGGGTTTCACCATGTTGACCAGGATGGTCTCGATTTCTTGACCTCGTGATCCACCCGCCTCGGCCTCCCAAAGTGCTGGGATTACAGGCGTGAGCCACCACGCTTGGCCTTTCTTTTTAAATACTTTAACTGTGGCTAGCTGCTAGAAATTTTTAATTGAACGTGTGGACAGCACAGCTCTAAAATGGAAAGAAATGTCACTTTGAGGAGTAAGGTAACTATTTGTCCTCATTTTAAGTCATTCCAAGAAGATGCTAGGACTGTTTCTTCACCCTAGATGAGTTTACATTATGCTTGCTTGCTTTCTTTCTCTCTTTCTTTCTTTCTTTCTTTCTTTCTTTCTTTCTTTCTTTCTTTCCTTTCTCCTTCCTTCCTTCCTTCTTTCCTTCCTTCCCTGCCTCCCTCCCTCCCTCCTTCCCTCCTTCCTTCCTTCGCCGAGAATCGCTCTTGTTGCCCAGGCTGGAGTGCAATGTTGCAATCTTGGCTCACCGCAACCTCCACCTCCCAGGTTCAAGCAATTCTTCTGCCTCAGCGTCCCTAGTAGCTGGGATTACAGACATTTGCCACCACGCCAGGCTAATTTTGTATTTTTGGTAGAGACAAGTTTTCTCCATGTTTGTCAGGCTGGTCTTGAACTCCCGACCTTAGGTGATCTGCCTACCTCTGCCTCCTGAAGTACTGGGATTACAGGCAAGAGCCACTGCACCGAGCCAATGGCGTGTGTTTTTTCTTACTCAAATATAAAATAATAGTGCATCTTAGTGATATATAAAATAATGCTACATCTTATATTTAAATGCCCTCTTAGAGTTGAGGAACTATACCAATTGCTTAATTTAAGCATTTTGTTATATTCTGCATTTTTTTCAAAAATGTTTTCTGGAACCTTACAACAAAGGATTTTATACAGTATGATCAATAATAACAGAAAATGAGGCAAAAAAATGTGAAAGTAGATATTCTTAAGAATTAACAAATTTGCTAAATTGAATATAATCAGTAGATTAAAGACCAGTTATATTATACTTGACCCTGGTTAAACTATGTTTACCCAAACCTCGTTTTAAAACAACAGTTTGAGAAAAGGGAAGAGTATGAAGACAGTATAAAGATCCATGGTTGCTATGGAGCAGAGGAAAGAAGGACAAATAGATGACAGGATTTTTAGGGCCATGAGTGAAACTATTCTGTATGATCCTATGATAGTGTATACATGTCATATATTTGTCAAACCCCATAGAAAATACACCACCAAGAATGAATCCTAATGTCAGCTATGGACTTTAGGTGATAGTGATGTTTAATCTATGTCCATCAATTGTAATAAATATGGCAAGATCTGGTGCAGGATATTGATAGTGGAGGAGGCTGGTGGAGGGAATGCAGGACGTGTATGGGAACCCTCTGTACTTCCTGCCAGTTTTGCTGTGAACCTAAAACTACTCTGAAAAGTAAAGTCTTAAAAAATTAATGAGTGTACTACTAAAGGCATTCTACATACATATTTATATAAATATGTGTATAAAATTGGAAATGCTATAAATGTCTGAATAAGATATACCAGTTTGTGGCTAGGCGAGGTGGCTCAGGCCTGTAATCACAGCACTTTGGGAGGCCAAGCTGGGAGGATTGCTTGAGCCCAGGAGTTTTGAGAGCAGCCTGGGCAACATGGCAAAACTCCATTTCTACAAAAAATAAAAATTAGCTGGGCATGGTGGCAGGCACCTGTAATCCCAGCTACTCAGGAAGCTGAGACAGGAGAATCTCTTGAACCTGGGAGGCAGAAGTTGCTGTGAGCCAAGACCATGCCACTGCACTCCAGCTTGAGTGACAGAGTGAGACTCTGTCTTAAAAAAAAATTACCAGTTTGCCACCAGATCCCAGGGTTTAGCACCTGGTGGGCACGTAAATATTTGTTGACTGAATGAATAAATAAAATGTTTATCTATTGACGAAAGTCACTGGAAAAATTTCAGTGACTTCTGAAATTTTCTGGAAAAAATTCCTCAGTTTTCTCCTTTGTCTGTAAATATTTTTTAATTTTTTTTCTTTGTAAGAAAGAATACACATTAACTCCCATACCTCCTCCTTTATCTTATAAAATTAAGCCAAAGAGTTAGAGTAATTACATATTAGTTCAACTAATCACACCCCAAAGACCTACTCCAAAGCCCGTACTCTACTTGACAGTCAACAGCATAATTTTCATCTCAGTATCAGATGTATTTTCCATCTTTATCGTTATTATAAAGATTTTTTCATATAAAGATTTAAAAAATCACAATTCAATTTTCTATGGTTAATGTGTTATTTTTAAAAGATAGGTATACCATAAATTTTCAGCCCTATAAAAACATAAAAAGTAAGGTGAAAACAAGGTGATCCTCCAGAAATGGAGTAAATTTGAAGTTTCATAAACAAAGTTAGAATCAATTGACATGAAATTTGTGGTGCTAATGCCAAGCATGTTTGGAATTAAGTAGAAAAATACCTTAACTGTTTATCAGCTCAGGTGATTAACTTACATTGGTTTGTTATGCATGAAATGGTAACTTTGTAAAAGCCTTCAGATCCTAAGATACCTTGTTACTGTAAGTTGCTTTTAAATGATACAAAGGTTCTAGGCAAAGTATCAGTTCAGAACCTGATCTGGATAAACCACTGGTATCCTGTGTTTATATATGGGTGTGGTCCAAGGGAGTGACTAGAGTTTACTAGAGTTCATGTTATTATCCCCTGACATGCCAACTCATATCCAAATGCCTAATTAAAATGTATATATATATATATATATATATATTCTTTTAAATCACATACTCAGTTGGGCATGCCTGTAATCCCAGCACTTTGGGAGGCCGAGGTGGGCAGATCACGAGGTCAGGAGTTCAAGACCAGCCTGGCCAACATGGTGAAACCCCGTTTCTGCTAAAAATACAAAAATTAGCCAGGCATGGTGGTGCCCACCTATAATCCTAGCTACTCAGGAGGCTGAGACAGAACAATTGGTTGAACCTGGGAGGCAAAGGTTGCAGTGAGCCGAGCTCACGTGCCACTGCATGCCAACCTGGGCTACAGAGTGAGACTTTGTCTCAAATAAATAAAATCACATACTCATTTTTCTTTTAAAATTTCATGTTTAATCTTGTTTTAGGCCAGGTGCAGTGGCTCACACCTATAATCCCAGCACTTTGGGAGGCCGAGGCGGGTGGATCACGAGGTCAAGAGATGGAGACCATCCTGGTCAACGAGGTGAAACCCCGTCTCTACTAAAAATACAAAAATTAGCTGGGCATGGTGGTGCACGCCTGTAGTCCCAGCTACTCGGGAGGCTGAGGCAGGAGAATTGCTTGAACCCAGAAGGCGGAGGTTGTGGTGAGCTGAGATCGTGCCATTGCACTCCAGTCTGGGTAACAACAGTGAAACTCCATCTCAAAAAAA